TGGAGCAAATTTTTTGATAAGGAACCCACCCACCATACCTAAGGTATGCCACGTGACGTAACATTCGTAAATGTAGTGCAGGAATTTGAACATTTTCCAAGTTTTCCTAAATTGATATAATGCATTCAACATGTGCAAGCGGTTTGCTAGAACGATCATGCATGCAGAAGAATAAATTACTATAAGACAGAATATAAGACAATTATTGTCAAAGAACAACCTGAGCAAAGTTCAAATCAACAAGGAAGGCCAGCCAAACAGACCCAAGGTACTACTGGCATTTTTTAACTGAAACCGCCACCAGTTCGTGTTCCATAGAGATCCTTTAATTAGCAGCTCCGATAAGTTATTCTTAGTGCTTCGCAGCAATATCAACTTCGGTCTCAAGATCATTCAGCTGTTTTGGATATCACATGGTTTAACCATGAGCTTACATCATGTCTGGTCGGTAAAACACACATTCAGTCAAGTTTAAAGTGAGCTGGTAAAAACTTGTCCCATTTTACGAATTATTAATTTTCCTGGAAGCAAGAAGTTTGATTTGAACAGTTCAGTTGTCCATACGATTGTTTCGTTTTGAAAATCTATGTGTTATGCCCATGAAGTATATCCTTGTACACTGCGATAGTGGGGCAAGTCTCGTCGCCGGAGAACATTACAAGGAGGTTTTTGTGGGTCTCGTGTGGCCCCCAAGGTTTCTCCGTTTGCAATTCAAACTTCTTTCCATTCCTTGTTTCTACTCAGTGGCACATTAGTATGGCGTTCTTTTCCTAAGCCTTGTGCTTTAGACTTCGTAAGAAAGTTTCGTTTCCGTACAGTTGATCAGTACCTACACTGTTGTGATCTATATGGCTTCTGAAGGCTTTGGAAAGGGCTGGAAAATGTCTGAGCTTTTTTTATTACTCTCTTGACCGTTGATGAAAAATCCTAAAGCTAGCAATAGACGATACAGCCATGTTATTAATAACACGAGCAGCACCCTGAACGTTGACTAACAGAATACAAAAGTAAAAGCATCGCCTTTGAAGGCATAAGTACACCGCAATTGCATACTGCGGGAAGAGACTTCGTGTGAATTGAGAGGCAACTGAAACTTTTCTCGAAGGTTAAATGAAGCAAATCGCCCTCGTTTAAGTACAACTGATGCGGATACATCGAACTGTCGTGTTATGTGCGGAGCTCCATATTTAATAACGAACCTTCAAGCGGTTAAAATGGTGTTCCTCGTGGGTTCTTAATGGCCCACAGCATCAAAAGAAGAATCCTAAATGTTTCTTTTAGTGTTTAACAATTTGACTTCTAAGGGCTTAACCAATACTTAACACCGACAAAAACGTGCATAAGGGACAATTTAGGGCGTTTTATCTCTTCTTAGCTAAGCTTAGTATCTTTTCTCGACGTATTAGGAAGCAATTGAACTGAATAGCCCTTAACAAACTAATATTTCACAATATATCGAGTGATGGTTTAGAGCTTCGCTTTCAAGCATATGCTTTTTCATTGATGCATTATACCGTTTTCATCAATTTACAAATGGTTTGCCGGAATGCTCATTGATGCAGGAGAGTTTTTCGAGTAATGAAATATCATTAAACAGGAACTGGAACACTTGTAAGAGGGTTGTCCCATTAAAGTTCGAAGCTACGAGAAAAGCCCGGCAAACTGACCCTTAGTACAATTGGCATTTTTGAATCTTTAATACATACATCCATTGTCGCGTCGACAAACCACTATCCATTCGCGTTCCATACAGATCCTTTAATGGGCAGCTCAGATAAGTAATTCTTAATGTATCGTAGCAATATCAACTCGTTTTCTCGAGATAATTTTGCTGTCTTAGGCATTACATGATTTCACCAAGAATTAACATCATGTCGGTAAAACAATCATTTATTTGTTTTTAAGTTGATCAAAACTTTTCCCAATTTGCAAATTATTAATTTTTTTTAAATAATCATTTGATTTGAATAGTTCAGTTATTCACACGAATATTTAGTAGTGCAAACCTATGTGTGATACCCACGAGCTTGCTGTGCGCCTCTTGTGCTGTGCTTGAGGGGCAAGTCCGTTGGAGAATGTCAGCAGGAGATTCTTGCAGATCTGTTGTAGACCCCTTAAGGGCTGTGCCGTCTGCAATTTACTACTCGTTCCATTCCTCATTCCCCGTTCCATTCTTTTAGCATGGCATTAGTTTATGCTCTTGACTTCGTAACAAACTTTCTTTTCTGTTACGTTGATCAATAACTTAACTGTTACGACCTATATGGCTTCTGAAGGCTTCGGCAAAGGCTGGAAAATGTCTGAGTCTTTTTATTCTTTCTATGAATAGCGTACTGAAAGAGGATGAACTGAATTAGAGAGTAAAGCATCGTATTTTAGGACCCATAAATGCTTCAACTCCCGAAAGGCACCTGATGGGTCGCTCGAAGGTCAAAATCAAATCACTTTTATATAACTTTGCTGATGCAGCGACATTGACCTGTCGAGTTATGTTATCTCTTTACCATACCCTACCCCCTATAGCGGACTTTAATGTGGTGTTGTGGTCGATCCGTTTGGGTTTTCACTGGTTTACGGTAGCAGTAGTAAAGTGATCGGTTTATCTTATAGAGCCTGACTGTTTGACTCACGAGGGCCTTGCCGCTCACCAAGGACTGAAAAAAACGTATTAGTTTATTTAGGAGAAATTGGGACATTTAGTTTCCTCTCAATAAAGTTTGGTATCTTTTCTTGACAAATTAATGAGCAATTAAACTGAATAGTCTTTTGATAGTATGTCTGATGACTTGGTGCCTCGTTTCAAAACAGACAGATGTTTTTTTTTTTTTTAGCTTTTATTCTTTGGACTTGTTCACGAATTTTGCCACGACATGGTACACAAAGAAGGCTTGAATGCCTTGCAGTGGGGCGTTTCTCGCTGATGTCAATGGGCTGAAAACTTTTTTGGATCGTTGACATGCAAAATACCATACCATCTCTTCAGCCAGAAATGAGCGAATATCTCGTGATAACAAGAGGTACAAAGGACGACAGAAATTTGAGGATTTCAAAAGTTTACTGTTTCAAAAATTAATTATAGCACTGTCACTTGCTAAAAGACGTCGCACCAGGACGCAATAAGGAATTTCTTCTCCAATCGTTAATCGAATATCCCGTGATAACAAGAGGTACAAAGGACAACAGAAATTTGAGGATTTCAAAAGTTTACTGTTTCGAAAATTAATTACAGCACTGTCACTTGCTAAAAGACCTCGCACCAGGACGCAATAAGGAATTTATTCTCCAATCGTTAATATTAGTTTTTAGCGTTTAAAGCTTTCGACAACTTACTGTGACAAATGAAGACTTTTCGAGACTGATCAATCGATGAATCATAAAAAGCTCACAAACAACTAGAAAAATCTGTGTTTGTTGTATTCGTGGCATCCGTGGTATTACTGTTTCAAGAATCGTGAATTCCTCAGTTGTGTTGCACTCCAAGGAGCCGTAAGCAAACCACAACGACAACAATGGAGGCAACGAGACGTGGCAGACATGGCAATACAAAAGATCTGAACAATAGTTCAGCACGTGCGTTTTAAAACTTTGTACATTTCTTAGCCGTCCTCTGAAAAACAACAACATGAAATTACCAATTAAAAATTTGCGCGATTTAAAAGCGGAAACTCCAACAGCAAATTATTTAACTTTCCATTTGAAGCTCAACGTTGCCCTCGTTCGTTATACCGAATATAATTAAGTATTTTAATTATAATTAAGTATTTTTTAATTAATTTTTGCAGTGTATATGTTGTAATCATTTTTATATTTCGATTTTAGCTCAAATTTCTATATTTTAATTGTATTTTTATATAATACACATCTAGTATTTAGGACCTCTATGTAAACCACTATTGTGATGGAGCTTCCTGATAAAAGATTGTTGTTATTTATTATTAAGAATTTTTCTGTTTTCCTTTTTCCCTTTGTATATGCTTTGTATTGNCTAAAAATATAAGTTCATTTTTTAAATCGACGTCTTCCTCGGCCTGACGTCCTGCTGAGTGGTTAAGTTCCCTATTGTTTCTTTGGATAAACTGGATAAGAATATCCGGTTACAACAGTTAAAACTTAAAGTGGATTTTCTTAATTTAGCATCAGTGTTGTCGAACGTTAGTAACCTTGAAACACATGTTTTTGATTTTGACCTTGTTCTCATCCGAGACGCACAATGAAGGTCACGAAATGTAATTTAATCGGAAGTCTTTAAAAACTTGTCTTTGATTAAGAGGGAACCTTTAAATAATACTTTGCGTGGGGTAGGGAAAAAAATGAGCCAAGAATAAAACAAAAGAGATCTTTCCCTCTGACGAAGGGTTGACGCTCGTAACGGCAGCTTTAGGAACTCTTTACGGTAACCAATTTACATCATTGACTTAGTCGATAAAATTAGATTATCTTGAAAGAAAAAAACAAAACAAAACAAACAAAACAAGGATGGACGTAGATAGGGAAGATTGACACCGGCATCCTTGTTCCCAAGGCCTTTTCCCTTATTTAGGGGGTGGGGCGGGAAAGGCCCTGGGAACGAGGTTGTGACGCTGAGTGCAAATTACGGATGAGTCATTATTTATCGCCTATTTATCCCAAGAAAGAGAACAAATCTATTTGATGTATTAATGCCTGTTTCGCCTTTTTTTTTTCTGTGGCAGTTCGGTTATGGAGTCTTCAATCCTACACAAACGTGGTTGCCTATAAGGGACACAATTTTCCCGTGTGGGCCCTGGACATCAGCCCACAATGCCTTTATTTTGCAACTGGCTCCCAGGATCGCACGGCCAGACTATGGAATTTAGAGTACACATTTCCAATGAGAATATTTGCAGGACATCTCCAGGATGTGGATGTAAGTTCAAGGATAAGCTCGGTAGTTGACCTTGTCATTGCCTTTGCAGCAAGAAAGGAGTAGTCCTCAATCGATTGGTTAACTGGGCACAATTATGCCACGACAGGCACTGGGT